AAAAAAAAAAAAAACCTGCGATTTCCTATCCAAGCCGCTCCAGGGCATCCGCTCAAAGCTTGGCGGAAGCGCCTGGACAAAGACGTAGCCTGGCTCAGACTCAGGATTCGGTTAAGAATAGAACTCAGGGGTACTTAGAAATAATTTCTAATCATTGGCTACTATAAACCCTAAGAAGCAGCTAAAATTAAAATTTTTGCTAGGGGTCTAAGTTCAGTATAGAGAAGCTTAAATAATTACCTACATTCTTGTGGGGGGTTCCTTATTTTAATTATAGCATAACTGGCCCCCAAACCCTATTCTAATTATTAAGGCCCCTATGTTACAGGGCTTAAGGTTTAGGGTTTAGGATCGAGGGTTTAGGGCTTAGGGCTTAGGATGCAGGGTTTACAGTAGGGTTTACGGGTTATGACAGGGTTTAGAAGGGTTTAGGGGTTCGGGTCTTTTAGAATAGGATTTATAGGCTTAGAACATGGTTTAGGGTTTTAGAAGAGGGTTTAGGGTTTAGGGGTTCATAACAGGTTTAAGGTTTAGCGGTTTATGACAGGGTTTAGGGTTTATAGGGCTTGTAGTGGGGTTCGGGTCTTTATAATAGGATTTAGGGCTTATGATAGGGTTTTCGGTGTAAAATCGGGCTCAGGGCTTTATAAGGAGGTTTAGGGTTTGTACCAGTGTTTGGTTTTTGTAATGGGGTTTAGCGTTTGTGGTAAGGTTAGGACTTGTAGTTGGGTTAAAGGCTTGTAATTTGCGGCTTGTAATAGGGTTCAGGGTTTAGGGTTGAGGATTTATAATACGGTTTAGGGTTTAGGGTTAGGGCTTAGGGAGGACTTATGATAGGGTTTAGGATATATATATATATATATATATAGGGTTTTGAGTTTAGGGTCTAGGGGTTATAATCGGGGTTTGGGTTTGAAGTGTAGAGTGGACTGGAACTGCTCGGAATTAGTATGATGGGAATGTCCCCTGTTATTCCACTACTTTTGTATGGTTTGCCAGCGCAGGGACGGCTTAGTACCCAGAAGGTGTTGGGCTTTTGGGCATTCGCTGATGTGTTCAACACGGGTGTGCATGCGGCTTTGTTCTTCATGGCGTCTTTCGGGGTTTGCACTTCTTCTTCTGGAGAGCTGCGTGGGCAACGTAGACCACAATTAGTAAACCCCCATAAACCTCCCCCGACATGGACCTTAAAAGGAGGAAGCAGCGACTTCTGCTTTTTAAAGCTGCACTCAGCGGGTCTGAATCCTCAGAATCAACCGCCTCGCCCTTACCGCGACGTTTAGGGTCTCAGCTGCGAGTTGGTGTGGGTTAGTCTGTAAGGATGCATAGGATAAAGCCTGTAGTTGGGGGCTGCAAGTGACTGTAACTATAGTTACCGTATCTGTAGCCCCAATGCTGTGGAGTCCCATGGTCTTGAAAAGCGGAAGACAAGTAATGCGTGGGCTTAGGTGGGGCTTAGCCGCTTGCAAAGTCTGCTGAGCGGATGTACACTCAAAGCCCTAAACCTTAAACTGCCCTAAACACCCCCTAAACCCCAAACCCCTTAGACCCTAAACCCTAAACCTGGTAGCGTAAGCGACCATGCAGAGATTCTTTGAGCTGAGGACTCCAACACTGTCAGCTGGGTCGAGTTCCGGAGCGCCTTCGAGGTGCTCCCAAACCCCTAAACCCTAAACCCTAAACCCTAACCCTAACCCCTAACCCCTAAACCCTAACCCCTAACCCCTATACCCCTAAACCCTAAACCCGAGGCCCAAATCCAACTTGCATCCTGAAGAGCCTATCGTTTTAAGGACGATATAAGGAAATCATAATAGGGAACCTCAAGACGGTCGGTTCTTCAGGGTAGGTAAATTGAAAACCCTAAAGCCAATGTTTTGGAAGTAGTATTGTGATTACGGTTGTTGGTTAGTGCTTGTTGTTGCCATTATCATTATTCTTATGTCCATTCTTAATAATATTAATTGTTGTTGCGCTGTCGCCCAAGGTGGTGGCACGAAAGCGAGGGGGCGCACGGACGGACGGACGGACGAACGGACAGACAAATGGACGGACGAACGGACGGACGGATAGACGGGCGGACGGACGGATGAACGTGGGCTGACAACCAGCAAGTGAATGGACGAACGGACAGATTGACGGACGGACGAACGTGCGATCGGCTGATTGGACGAGGCGGACGCAGCGACAAACGGATGCACGGAGGGACGAAGGACGAACCGACGGACGGGAAAATAGGCGAACGTGTTGGCTGGACTGTCAATGGCGGATGAACAGACGAACAAGAGCTCCCGTCTACAGGTTTTGGGGTTTGGGCTTCGGGGTTTCGAGGCTACGGATTTGGGACTTAGAACTCGGGGGTTGGGGTTTAGGATTTGGGGAGTTTCCGGCTTACGGCTTACGACATGTCGTCAGCAATGTAAGGGCTTGCAGTTGCAAGGGCTGAGGTTCTTGGGGGCTTCCGTGCGTCTATCACAGAAGCTGCGTTGAAAGCAGCCCCAGTAACGACACGAAGGCCTAAGACGCGGCTTCCGAAGGCCTCCAGGCTAAGAGTCGGGTTGGGCACTGCGAAAACGCATCGGAATCCCCGCCCCCTCCCCTTCCTCGCCGCGCCTCGCGTAAGATCGAAGGACTCCTTGGACAACCCCACAACATAAGGCTGCAACCCCTACATTCCCGCAACAGCCCCTTCACCCCAGCAGCCCCAAATACTGACCCTATAGACCCTAAACCCTAGACCCTATGTGTAAAACCTCGTTTGCACTGATATGTGCCCACCCCAACCCCGCCCACGTGCTAGGAACTGCAGCACATAGGTAGGGGCGGACGCGTGCACCTTAAGGGCAATGCACATCATCTCCCACATAGGGTTTAGGGGTTAAACTATGGG